AGCCAGGTTATTGTAAACCATTAAGAACCAAGTATATTATTTGTACTTCTATCTGCTCTACTCTGTTTACAGTTGCTGGGATTCTGTCAGCAAATAGGTGGTACTTTTTGTGAGCAGCAGTATGGTCTCGTTCGAAAGATTTCCGTAATATCGTGGAATTCTTACCACATCGATGATTCGTATCAACGAAGCGCCAAATTTCACTTGTACAGCGCTGCTTGCATTTCGCACTGGTCGAACGTTCTTGTTGTAGAAATACAACAAATCCTCGTAGAGCTGGTCCGCATAACGATTACTTATCACTTCAACAACTAAAATTTTCGGAAGAGTACACGCCTGTAGAAAAACATTTTTCGTATCATATTTTCATACAGTTTTTTATAAAATAAAGCTTTCGATAAAATGCTACGGTTTTTTAACTTAGTTAAATATTTTTCAGAGTTTACCAAGGTCTAATCACTAATACGGAATATTCTCACTAACTGCGCCGGCGATCTTGTTATTTCACAGGCTTTGCCGATTCTTGAAATAATTTTTTCAAGACTCATAGTTTCGAACTTTTTACATAATAAATTAACTATCAACTATCGGCATATTTTTGGCGAGTGAGAATCGGTGCTAAATAACCAAAATAATGAACATGTTTATTACTTATCGCTTTAAATCTCCGTCCAAAAATAAAGCGGAGAGCCGCTAACAGATGGTTATTTTTGGAATTTTGTTATTGCTACCATTATGGTTACTTTGAGTGCCTCCATTTCTAGTAATGCACAAATTATCAAAAACTTGAAGTCAAAAATTTGACTTTTTGCTGTATTTATTTGCATTTATTAAACTTACAAAACTGGATGATTAGTGAGCATAAAAGTTTTTTCACAAGCTTATCGTGACCGAGGAATGGTAACGTTCGAATGGGGCTGGCGATCCAGTCTAGAGCTAACATCCCATTACATCTCGAAATAGATAGAGCCTTGCCAAGTGCTTCTGTGTCGAGAGATCAGCTGATTTGGTAATCTCTTCAGGAAGCGAAATGGAGGTCAAGAATGGCCAACAAACTCGCCGCCAAGACAAACAAATCAAGCCAGCTGCACAGCTGAATGACCAAATTCAGAATTGCATCTGATCAAACTATCAAAATGATTTATTCAAAAATACTTAATGCTGTCCCTTGTAGATTCCAAAAATGTTGGCCTTTAGAAAAATGCACTCAACCAAGGCGTTTGTTTGGATGAGCAATTTATGGCGTTTTCTTAGTACGTAGATAGTTCCAGGTAATTTTTGGGAATAACGTTGTACTGGTAGCAGAAAGGCTTGGAAATTTTGCTTAGCCTGTAAATATACCTTAGTAACATAAAAAGACCTAACGCTTTCAGTGAAATTTTAGAATTTATAAATATTTAAAGTTATGTCTGGCCTGCCCAGCAAATTTTATTAATTTCATAATTCTTCGGGATGCCATTACCACTGACTATTTGGAAAGCCTTGTTATTCTTGGTGTAAATCTATGAATCATATCTTCTGAAATTTTTATGCTGAAAAAGAAACTTACCAGCCGTACACAAAATGACGAACTTTATTATCCATGAAGTCATGATGCGACAGCGTGCAACTGGCTCTTCACATTTCCGTTCGATCAGAGAAAGGAAACCCAGATCATGTGGCCTGACTGGCCAAGATTTGTTCGGATCAGCGTGAAAGTGATTGGAGAAATAGAGATATGTGAATAACAGGAAGCCATCGATTGATGGACATCCTGTTGAGGATTAGTGAGGTCTGTTAACAGCTGCCACCTGCTTCTCCCTCACTACAAGCAATAATTTTGATGGAGCCATTTTGCAGAGAAATTGTCAAACACGCTCCGCATTACTAGCGCGGATTCCTCGATACCACCGAGATGCAGGTTTGGTACAGGCACAATTGACCTTTCTGGCACCCCAAATTACCACCTGTCCTCTTCCTCAAATTTTCTTGCTAGCTAATCCAGACCAGTGATGCACAAGAATGATGAAACCTAGTAACCTACAAATATAGTGGAGGATCAAAGTGGGAAGTATAAATCCGCAAAAGTTCTAATCGCCAAAATTTCATCAAGAATGAGCTGAATTTTAGTTGTTTCGGCTCTATGTCTAGCTGGCTAAACTCCCTCCTCCAGGATTTTTTTTTTT